GTGAACACGGGTTTAACCGTCGAGTGCGGGAGTATAGGCTGCGGTCATGCGAATGGCCCGGATGTGACTTCACTACTAAGAGAAACATATTGCTTACCAAACATAGGCGCACTCATACCGGTGAGCGGCCGTATGCCTGCGATTGGCCTCAATGTGGAAAAGCATTCAAACGAATGGATGATTTGAAAGACCACAAGAATATTCACTATAATCTCAAACCATATGCGTGTCATTGGCCCGGATGTCAGTATAGGAGTAGCAATGGGTCCAACATTTACAAACACAATAAACAAGTACATCTGAAAAAATGATTTATTATTTATATTTATTGATACTGTATTTGTTAAAATTATATTAAATTCTGTATTACGATAAGAATTTCTAATGTATTGAAATTGGTTTCAATAAAAATGTATTGAAATGAAATGACAGTCCCTTTGAGGCACTTATGGTTTGAATGTTTTGTTTATTAGTTTTGCAAAAAAAAACTTATTTTGCTTTTAATTTAATTTATTTACTGTTTCTCGGAATAGCATTTTGATTATGGATTTAAATATCCATAAAAGTTATGTAAGGATTGGTTTGAATGATATTTTCGATGAATTAATGGCTGAAAACCAGAGACTAATGAATGAGATATTGTTTGCAAACCAATGTTTAAACCAAATGAAAAGCCGTTTGTCTCTGATTTACAACAAAATCGAGACAATTATGACACCCGAAGACAAACTAGTGATCAATACATTGATACAAGATTTGGATGCGATTCGCGATAAGATATCTTCAGATAATGAGACCATTGAACCCAATGTCCGCGTGTGTCAAACAACAACCCAGAGGTCATTGAGACTAAGATCTCATATGAGAACACAAGAAGTGAATCATACTATTGGCGAAGAGATTACTGGAGACGATAGTGATGTGAAGGACAAGAAGATTGTGAACACAAACAGCAAAAGTAGACAACAAAGTGACCGCAAAAGCGATTCAATGCGTGAATACAAGGGCTGTAATAAAAGCGCGAAACGAAAGCCTAAACCAAAGCCAAGGTCTAAATTGGTGGGAAAGACAGTGAAATGTGATTATAAGGACTGCGAGTATAAGTGTCGCACAGAAGTGAACCTCAAAAGTCATATGAAGAGCCATTTGAATGAAAAGACTGAACCATTTCGTGAACAGCGCCGACATATCTACAAAACATGTTACGATTTGAGCACTAATTCATACGTTTGTCACGAAATTGATTGTCAAAAGTCTTACAGAACTTACCGCTCGTTTAGACTGCATTTATTAGGCGTTCACACGGATAAGACATTTGCGTGCGATTATTCAGGCTGTGAGAAACGGTTTACCACTCTATACCGCATGAGACAACACTATAAAATAATCCACAACACGGCTAAAGCGTTGAAATGTCATTTCCCGGGCTGTCGGTACATATTTCGTACAAAACCAGAGCTAGAAAAACATTTTGCTAGACATTACTCCGAGAAAGCCTTTTCATGCGATATCAAGGGCTGCGGAAAGGCGTTTACAACATCACTAGCACTGAGAGTCCATTTACGGCTTCATAATAGCGAACCCACCTATAAGTGTACGGCTGAGGGGTGTCTGGAAATGTTTTATAAATATACTCATTTAACTAAACATAGGATTAGTGAACATAACTATAAGCCATATACCTATAAACGCTATGAATTGGCTGCAGTGCAGTGCGATTGGCCGGGCTGTGACTTTTGGACCAAAGGGACCAATGCACTCAATGCCCATAAGCGCGTACACACCGGCGAAAAGCCGTATGCATGCGATTGGCCAGAATGCGGGAAAGCATTTCAACGCCTAAATAACTTGAATGACCACAAGAATATTCATTATAACGTTAAACCCTATGCTTGTCAGTGGCCCGGCTGTCAGTACTCGTGTAATAATAGTAGCAATATTCGCAAACACCATAAGCAAGTTCATAAAGTTAAATAATTCTTGATATATGACTATGTTTTCAATAACTTTATGTATTCATTGTTAAATAAAGTATTACAAGTAATAAAAACGGGAAGTCATAATAAAATAAAGTATTTACAATGAATTTAGAAATACATTTAAATTAAATAAATAGGCATAACATTTAAATATTTCATTCAACTTATTGAATGTTAACTATCGTTAGTTTTATCATTATTATTAAGAGTATTTACAAGTGTTAAGTCAATCCACATAAATATATAAATTGCAATCAATGTTAAAGCGCCGGCTACTTGGAAACACATACTCGGATACCAGTCTATAGTGTACTGGAAGAGTGTATTATTCAAAACCGACTGAATGGTGGGGAACGTAGCCTCGAGTGCGCCCAACAGACAAAACACTCGCCCGGACTCTGATTCCGGTGCGATCTTTGATATTAGGGAACGTATGGCTACCGTTCCTAAGCCGGACACACTGC